GATAACTGAGGCCCTTTAGACAGAAGGGTGGAATCAATATAAGGTCAGTAGTTTTATTAAGTACTCATTATCTTAAATAGTAAACATGTAGATTTTAGTGCTTCAACAAAAATTCCATACAATGATTTCCCTCAAAAATATTATTCGTTAAAATGGGAAAATTAGGGAATTTTTCATTATCAGTAATACTCATCATCTTAAAGATAATACATTATCAATGCACCTACATTTCTTTTCCATTCGGAGGTACACAACACTGAACCAAATGCCAACGGCCAGTATCAGCTCTGTATATCGGTCTCTAACCCTTACCCGACATGACATGTAAGACCTTTTTAAAACAATTTACCGGTCACCCGCTCCTCCCTCCCCTCGAACCCCCTCCCCTCAAATCTCTACCTTCTCTCTCCCCGCTCAAGATGGTGCATTTTTTATTTATGCCCTCTGTTTTTTTTTTTTTTGTTTTTTAGTCTTTGTATGCAAATCCTGTCTGACTTGTCTGAATTATGTGTGTCTGTCCGGGAGCCTCTGTGATTCGGAGTGACTGAGGATTGCACACACGGTGATTGCATCCACTGGGCCTACTCTGAGCCTTGCATAAGTAATTGAGATGTCAGTATGTGTTCTCATATTCCCACAACAAAACTGTAGGAAAACATGCACTGTTGAAGGTCATTTGAATAATTCCTTAATGGAAGGGAGGCCTTGTTTTTTCGGGATGCATGAAAAAGCAAATGTCAATGATCAAAATCAAGCAGCATCATATCTTATGGAGGCAGCACTGATTCCTGGAGCACTTCACCCTCGATCTATCTCCTTGTCTTTCCCTCTGAAAAGAGAGATAAGGGATAAGTGTCTTTGTGCATATCAAACACAACACCAGCCACTATTTCTCAAGGGTCTTTTTGAAACACAAATTGGTTTTGATACATTTTCTATGGTGACCCCTTTGATTTGAAATTGGAAATGACGGCGAACGGTAGTTCTCTTATTCATAAAACCACTGGGAGGTCAATGTCTGAATCATACATATACACACACAGGATAATAAGATATAAGTCATTAATCTTTCATATGTGGATTATCATTGTAGCTATAGACATGTCCCCAGGTGATCAGGCATATATGGATAGATTAGCTCTGTTATACAGAGGGGGGGGGGGGTGCACAAAGGAAAACATGTTAAAGATATATTTGAAGTGGTCCTCATGTTGGAATCTGGAACATTGTATGAAATGGCGTAGCATGATTTAGTATACGTCTAAATACAAGTCAAAGATATGAAAAAAGAAAGAAAGAAACCCTTCCAAAAAAAGAGAAAAACAAATACAGTGCAGTGTAGATAGGGGATGGATAGGTATTGCATCTTGTTTTGCAAAACCACATCCCTCATCCACCAAGATGGAGGACACATTTCATCCCCTGTATTCTTTATGTTTCGTCCGCTCCTGTGATGGATGAAAGGCCTGGCGACGCACCTGCAGTTCTCATCCACCACCACATCATCACTAAAGGCTTGGCAGACCGAGATGATCTCCTCGCATCCGTTAGCCTGCTGCTGTCAAACACCGTCATTCTCCAAAGACGACTCTGTCATATCGACCCTCCCATCACAAAATAAACCCACCTTGATGAAAGACTGCCGCGTGTCCATCAAAGAAATATAAAATACACTGCTACTGACACCAGCTGGAGTGCTGCACTCTCAGTTACAGTGGCATGACTATCCTCAAGGACGTAGCATTAAAAAAAATCTACAATATTCAATGTATCCGAGTTGAAAGAAGACAAACTAGTAAATAGATGTTAATAAATCAGAAAGCTGTTTTTGTAAATAAAAGGCTGACTGTAATGGACCTCATCAGATTATATTTATAGCTAATGCAGTTCACCTCGATAGGACAATACAAGCGTAAAACATTTAAAAAGTACAATTTTGGTTTATTTTTGTTAAAAGATGTCATTCATTCTTCAATGTATTTAATACACCGTAGAAGCTTTATGTAAATTCAAACATGTTTCGCTATTGAGCCTTGAGAGTCATTTTCTAGTAGAACATTATGCAAGACCTGTACCCAAAATGTAATAAATTCTAGGTGGAAAGAGTATCCTTCTAGAATATTTGACTCAAGTTAATGTAGTTACTTTAAAGTAACGTAACTCAAGCAAAAGTAAAAGCACTTAAGTGAAACATGACCCCTAATGTCCAAACCAACACACGGGCATTGTGCAGTCTGTGCTTACAACTGATGATCAACTACATAAATATACATTCAAACATTCGTCAGCGTAACCTCACAAGAATTAAGCAGAAAAGAGATTAAATATAACGAGCTATGGACACAACGGCACCTGAAACTTCTTCTGGAACCAACAGTAGAATCAAACATCAGCAAAGCAGACACCGTGGACATGTATGAACAAATATAAACTACACTGCAGCCACTAACACACATGTAACAGCGAAGAGGTTGTTGTTGTTCTCATCTTGAGAGTTCAGCAGTGTGTTGTTGTGAGTTACTCACCTGTCTGAACGGGATCCTGCAAGTCCTGCTCAATCTGCTTCAAGTTCAACGTCTCTGTCCCAGTATAACCAGTCCACTTGGCCTCTCTGGTCCCACGGTGATCCTCACATTCAAAACCTTTTGAGCATCAGTGAACAAGAGTCTCAAACAGCAGGAAGTCCTCACACACCTCACTGAAGGTAGAAGCTCCTCAATGAAGCAGAAGTCATCCACCATAAGCATGTTAGCATTTGGCATGTTAGCCAGACCCAACGTACCCCATGCTGTACAGGTGACGAACATAGTGGGTGTGTCATTAGCATGCTCGCCGGCATTAACTCGGTCATTAATTATGATAGATGCAACGTTTTTGTTTAACCATTTTGAGGTACAATTATGCCTAAAACCACATCATATATGTTCCTTAATTTGATTGTGCTTGAAGTGACCCCGGCGGCCCGTAAACGCAAACTTGTACAACGTATCATTTCCGTATCATTTAGATACTTGTGACAATAGTACTTAAGTATAAGTAAAATTACGAAGTTTTGAAATACTCAAAAAGTACAAGAAATGAAAACAACTGGAAACATAAATACCCGGATCTTGCCAGTAGCCTTACCAAACACGGGTCTGCTGCTACGAGAAAATTAAAAAGACATTTTAAAAGCATAAAATAAAGAGTTGTAGTATTATATATTCAGTGTGTGTGATTAAGGTTGCGACACTAACAGAACACTGTGGTGCTATACAGACCCCTTATAGAAAGGAGAATTGTCCCAGATCCCACACATTTTACAGTATGAAGCTGAGCAACATAATTGACTCAAGTCTACAAACTGACTTAAATCAACATAAAAATAGAGTGAGGCAGGTATCTCGTGCACAACGTGAATACTGATCACTTCTTCCTGAATGCAATTCCCACAATGGGGCGTTTTATCAGGATCCAAACAGATTCCTCCGACTTTAGTTTGTGATCCAGTTCAAAGGCTCTCAATCGTTGTTGCTTTGTTTGTTGATTCTCCGTCAGACATTGTTTGTTTGGTTTGAGGTATTTTGGAAGGGTATTAAAACCATACGTCGGAGTTAGCGCGAAGTTGGAGGTTTTACAGACGGCAGACACGCGCCCGGGATCCTCAGCAGGGGCTTTTTGTCTTTGTTCCGCGGGTTGACAATGATCTTCATGCCGCTATACAAACCAGGAACAAGGACCACGAACATAAGCCCAACAAAAGATTTGTCAGGAAACCACAGGTGTGCATGTGTGTGTGTGTGTGTGTGCGTGTGTTTCCGCTGAGCATACATACATTGGAGGTAATGACACAGCTTGGAGCTTTGGAGATGAACTTCTGAGGAAATATCAGAAGCACTGGGACCAACACGCCCTCCCTATTTAACCTCACTTCTCTGTGATCTCCTAACCATAGAGGGACACCTCTCTATCAACAGATGACACAAACATACACAGCATACTTGGTGCGATGAACTGAGAGTAAAGAGTATACACTGCAAACACCAAGACATCTGTTCTATCTCGGCAGAGGCAGGCGCGAGTTATGCAGGTTAATACTCCCCGTGTTCCCACCAGCCCAGGTAATTTTGTTATTCCGTTTGTGCCCTCTGTCTACACCCACCCCTGTCTGCTGTACATAATGGTCCCAGCCCTGAGAGGAAGCAGGCATTTACTTATACAAAACCTTGAGGAAATCCCTACCAATCCTTAGGGCTCACGTTCAGCAGCGCCCCAAAACACAAAGGCTATGCAAATCTGCCCAGCCCGCGTTTATCTACCCTCGGTTTCCGTTTGCACCACGGGAAACCAGCATTGTGCCGTGCGTGGCGATTATCGCATGTAATTTACATAGAATACGCACAGGAAACAGTGCGCTGATCTCTAACAAAGCAGGCAAGAGTCTCTATCGGCTCAGCAGCTATCTGACGGCACAGCAAAATTACAGGTTTAGCTGTGGGGTATTAAACCTACAAGGTGTTTTTTATTTCTGGTGTGCAGGGAACACTATCTCCTCCAAATGTTGCTTGTTTATCTGCCTTGTTTGTTTTATAACCCAACTCTAGCAGCCCCTTCCCGAGGAAGCTGCACCTTCAGCCGGGGCTAATCTACCCGCTGCCTGTGTTTCCTTTGTCACTGAATCCATGTATCAACACAGCGAGGTGCAGCCAGATCGAGGAGGTGCGTAATTGCAGAAAGACACTCGCGCTAATATAGCTGGGGAGAGTGAGCGTGCGTGTGACTGACTCAGCCGACACGAGACATGTTGTGAGTGTGAGGAATGGAAGTCATAACACTGCAGCACGGCGTCATCCATACAAAGGCTGGCACTGTGAGTACTCTATCAGAGTCTTGAGACATGAGGGCGAGATCAGAGATCAGATTCCCGATGGTTTACCTGCAGGGCTGCCTGAGGAAGAAAACCCCACAACTTGCTGGCGGTCATCTGGAGGTCATTGTGCACAAGGGATCACTTTCAGCTCTCGCTGAAGCTAAATGTTAAGGCCATGGTGTACATTGAACACGGCGTAAGAGAACACAACAGCACACAAAGCAGAGACAACAGAGGAGAGCGGAGGACTTGACCTGAGACGACGTAGAAGCTGATTGATGTGTAAAATACGGTGCAGACATCTTCTGACATGTTCTGCAAGCAACTACGCAAACATTCATTTTTAGATGAGATCAAAGTAAATGGAGCAGAGAGGCGAAGGTTTTCTGCACTAAACTACATTTTTTTCACTGACTGACAATCACACACTCGGTTCAGCCGATAAACGCTAACAAAAAAATTACACTTTATCCTTCAATGTTATCTGAATAAATCTGCTCAAACGTGGCGTGTACTGCACACATGTGCGTTGGATTGTGGCCCTGATGAACGATGCAAGCGATGCACGCTCACCAATTGACAATTCGTGTGTGATAGAGAAAATGAGAAAAGGGACAGCTTCATGCTCATGTATCAAATGAACAGTTGTGTTAATTACTGGTTGCTTCAGTGAGGCCGGTCAGGAGGCTTGATCAGGCAGCACAGACACCCATCTGATTTTGTTCCAAGACAGGCGAAAGTACACTGCCGTCATTAATATAACACTGATTCTTTCAGAGGGCCCTCCGAAGGCCAGTCACAAGCCTAGCATGAGTTCCTCGCAGTACAATAGCCACCCTTACAGACTTATCATCCCCGTCATCTTCATTATATATATAATCATCAGCAGTATGATGTGGCTCAGTCATCAGTTATAAGTATGACACCAGTGACTTTTCCTTTTTCTCTTAAAATGTTGTACACGTACGTTGGCCTGCTGTAGAACACCAACAGTGAGACGAGGGCCTTTTGGATCTCCTGCTGCAATGCTTCAATATAACCCCCCCCCCACAAAAAAAACAAGAAATCCTGTTACACTGGGTTCGGATTTAATATGGGTACGATCGCTTTAATCGGCCGCCAAGCAAACGTTATAGAGTGGAATTTTATACATGTTGAGTTTGGTGCACCACCGTGACAAATGAACACACAACCACAAATGGACGACTGTTAACAACTGCTTTGGGGTTTATTTTACAATTGAGAAAGAAATGAAACAAACTAATCGTTGCTAAAAAGTTTTTTTTTTTTTTTTTTTTTACAATATTGTCGATAAAACATTGAAATGTATAGTCATTGTGCATCGCTTATTTATTTTCCACACCATTTCATGCATCAAATTGGATGCAAGTATAATTAAAATCATTTCTGTAAACCAAGCCAAAGAAGCTAAATTTGTATTTTCTTTAAAAAAAGGACATTTTGTAGCTCTACAGCATATATCTATATACACCATCTGTTTTTATTTTTTATCATTTTTTTTGTATATAAAATGACAATATAAAAGTTAGAGAATGCACACACCTTAAGATACAAAGAATGTTGAGCTGTTTCAAATGGTAAGATATGTCTTATGGAGTACTGACATTTCACTGGTAATCATTTACATGTAACGGACTGTTCTCTTTACAGTTGAATAAAGCCACACAATTTAGAAAGAGAATGTTGTAACAAACCATACAACTGGAAAATTGCTATAAGGTGATACTTCACAACAAGGAAAGGTTTTTTGAGCAAACTTGCATACTGACGGCCATTCATTTTCACTGATTGACTCGTAACCAGAAGCAGCATTTCAGTTTTTCCAAATGTTCACGTGATCTTTTTTTCTAATACACTGACAGACTTATGAGCAGGCCATTCATCATCAGAAACATTGCAGTGACAGGAACCCAAAAAAAGGAGAAGGGGGGAAATGATGGTCCTTGATCTTTTAAAATCTGACGGATTTTGACAAATGCAAGATATTTCAAAACATGTTCTCTTTACAAATTCAGAATTCAACTGTCTAAGGTGCTACTTCAGTCTTTCGGGGTATTCTTTCATTCTTTTGGTGTATACATTTAATTTTCACCTTCTTCATATCAAGTATTTTACAGTTTTCTCTCCCACCAATTCTTTTCCCACTCGCCACTTTTACCATTGAAGCAGTAGTTGTATTTTTGCCATGAAAAGATTAAAATCTTGTGTTTAACCTCGATTCACTAAAATACATGCACAGATCAGACAAATAGCATATAAATATATTACAAAATAAGTGTAAAAAAAAGCTTGGCAAAACAAAAACAAATCAACATGAAAAGACATGGTCCAGTCAGGCAGTTATCACAACAAAAAAAAAATATAATAAGACCGATTTTTTTCTGGCGGCTCAGTTCGGCCCAGTGCAGTAACTGTGAACAATGTCATTTTAGTGCAATGAAATTCTAGTCAGTTCCACAGCTGTCAGTCTCTACTCTCAGTTCGAGACCCCGCTTAAACCTTCTCCATCTTGTCTAGCTTCTCCAGTTTCTCCAAAGCATTGACGTACACCAGGTGGTCCTCCGGAGACTTGCCGTGGGTCTTGCTGAGGTGCAGTTTGACTGCGTGTTTGCTGACGAATGTCCTATTGCAAAGTCTGCACTGGTACACAGAGCTTATGTCGTCCTCTGCCGTGGTCAAGGCTGACAGGGGGCTGCCGAATGTCATTTTGTCTGTGATCACCTTTGAGGCAGCCTGCTGCTCCCGAAGGTGCTCAGTTGACAGTTTGGACAGGTCTTTCAAGCTGAAGCCCAGGTGAGACTCCAGGTGGCCGATGTAGGAGGAAGGAGTCCTGAACTGGGAGGCACAGTCACCACAGAGGAACACGGGCTGGCACGAGTCCATGTTCTTGAGAAACTTGGTGCCCCCAGTCCGTCTCAGCTGGTACTTGACATTAGCCAGCCAGTGGGATATGGTGGTCATGGAGAGGCCGGTGAACTTACAGATGTGGACCCTTTCCTGGGGGCCCAGGTCAGTCATGGCGTAGCGGCCCTCTGAGGTCTCCCTCAGGCTGGAGACGAACTGTGCCTGGAGGATGAGGAGGTGCTGGGGATTCCAGTTGGATTGCCTCCCTTTCTTCTTTTGCACTGGAGAGAGGTCGTCCAGGGCGTCCTCAAATGCACTGCCGTCGGCATCCGACTTCTCTGAGATTGAGGAGGGAGTTGAAGATTTGGGCGTCAGTCTCCCAGTGAGGTTCTTCACCATATCAGAAATGTCCATCAGAGCATTCTCTCTCAGAGGAGAGGAGACCGAGTCAGGGAGGGAAATGAGGGGTTTGTTACCATTTACATTGTTGTTGGTCAGGAGCATACTGCTGCTGTTGTTGTTATTGTTATTGTTGCTGTTAATGGTGGCCTTACTTTTACTAAGGTCTATGGGCTGGTCACTGTTTTCATACAACGGATAGTGGTTGATGGGCTCAGCTGGCTTGCCCTGAGGAGTTGGGTTGAAAGCTGGCTTGTCCATCATGCTGTTGCTGATCTTGTAAAGCATAGATAGTGGGTCTGCAGCTGGGCTTACTGGTTTGGAGGCCTTACCCAGGTGTGTGTTCATGATTGACTGGAGTGCACTGAGAGGGTTGATGAAAGGACTTTCCGGTGAGTGATCGGTGATGATGCCAAGACTGTTGCCATTCGTTACCGGGGATTGGCATGCCTCAGAGCCGTTCTTTGAATGGTTGTGGTGGCCATCTACGAGGCTCTCTTTGGGCTCCTTCTTGCAGATGAACTCTGAATCTGCACTTCTCGGGCTGCTACTTCTTATACCAGATGGTTTACCTACAGAAAGGTCATTTGGAGATACTAATTGTTCTCGCTGCTCTCTTAGTGCAGGAGAGGGGGATTTTACTAGCGATGGGGGCCGGTATCGTTCCAGGCTCACCATCTTCTCCTCCTTTTCTTTCTTTACAGTGGCAGCTTTCCCTGTCACTTTCTCCACAAGCTCCTCCATGGCAGTGACATTGCTCCTGAGGGGGGCAGGGGAGGAAGGGCTTCGAGGCGAGTGGATGACTGAGCTGGGGTCAGTCACCAGGCCTCGTAGCCCACTGTTAAACATCGGCTGCATCTGGACACTCTGGACCATTGGGGGCAGAATGGTAGCAGAACTCTTCATGGCACCCTGCAGCTGGTAGGCCGCATGAATGCTCGAGTAGCCACCCCATTTGGGTGTGCCTGTCTGGGCCTTGCTGATGGCACTGGATACTGTGTTCTCAAGTGATTTGAGAATATCTAAACCCCCCTTTGGTGCCTCCTCCAGATCTTCTTCTCTAAGGTATTTATATGACGTGGCGTTAGTCTCAGATTTCTCACCTGGGTCATCTCTCTCCTCCTTGATTTTTCTCTCCACTGGCCCACCGCCTTCGACCTTTTCATCTTCACCTCCTTCCCTCTTCTCTTCTGAGCCAGAGGAGAGGGCAGGTGACACTGGCTGGGACTTAACACCACTGGGAACAGGGAGTCTGGTGGTGGTCGGTGGCAGTGGGATAGACTGAATCTTTTCTTCCACCACTGAATCAAAAACCAGCTGTTTGCCTTTCTTGGATGCAGAATTTGTAACCTTCAAAAAGTGACCAGTAACCATCATGTGGGCAGTCAGCTGTTGCAGTGTATCATGAGAGCTCCCACACTCCATGCATTTGAGGATCTGGGCTTTACGAGCTTCAAACTGCCATGTGTAGCTGGCACCATTCTGGTAGCCATAGCGGTTGTTTGGCGTAACATAGGGGTTAGCTGCGGATTTTGTATCTTTGCCAACCTCCCCAAGAGATACATTACCACCACCACTACCAGCATGGACAGAGTCTGGGGAGTATGGGGAGACGATAGCATCATGCATTGCTCGTTTTTTAGCAGAAGTGGACATTAGTTTAGTGGCCAAGGCTGGCACTGGTTCTTTGAGAGGCACTTTCTGGTAATGCTTGGTCTTGATCATATGAACACTGAGATCTTGCAGAGACTCAAATGAGTGGCCACAGTACATGCACTTCAGCACCTTCTGGGCATCCTCTTTCCCCTCCATCTCCATCAGGGAGCGCTTGCGTGGTTTGGACCAGCGCTTTCCCTGATCCTCCTCTTTGTCCTTGTTGTCATCTCGATAGTGGCCCGTCTCGTTCATGTGGACTGTTAAACCCACTAGTGTGTCATAGGCACCGCTACAGTCTTTGCAGCGGAACTTGCTTGCACCAGTGAAAACAGAACCATACAGCTTGTTGTTCTGCCGATAGAGCTGCACTGTGCTGAAGAGGCTGGGCTCTGGTAAAAGGTGGTAGGGGTTCTGCTGAAAAGTTTTGGCAAGTGCTGCCTGGTGCCAGTCATAGGCTACACCACCACCATTACTAGCCACACCACTGCTGCTCCCACTACAGCTGGTTGCACTATGGCTGCCAACAAAGCTACCTGCTGTGCCATTAGTGCTGCCACTTGCGCTGCCTGTGTGGTTGACAGTGGTGCTGGAGCTTCTGCCGTTATGGTGACTGCTAGCCATGTTGACCCCACTGCTCTTGTTTGTGGTCGTAGTTATGGAGACAGACGGAGTAGAGGCGGGCTCTGGAGTGGTATGGGCACTGTTGACACTGCCAGCTGCAGCAGGCTTAGATTTCATGATGTCCATCGTGATGCTGGACCAAGAGGCATCTGAGATGAGGTTTGCATAGACGGCTTTCATCTGTGCCAGGCTATCCTGGAGAGAAAGGCCGTTGTTGGGGCGTAAGGGCAAAGCTGAGCCTTCCCTCTCCTGACCGTCTCTGGAAGAGGTGCTCTTGAAGTCCGTCAGCCGGTCGCTGGCATCACTGAGGGGAGACCCGTATCCAGCGTCAGGGTTAGTGCCATTGCTGAGTGGAGAGTCTCTGTAACTAGGTGGCTGGCCTCCGTCCACATCTTCCTCTTCCTCGTTGCACAGAAACTCAGTGTCCTGGCCATCTAATGAGAGGCCGTCATCCTGCATGTGCTCTTCCTCATCGTGATCGCCCACCTTGAGCTCATCTTCGGGCATGTACGCTGGAGAGAAAGAGAGCAAGAGACAGAGGACAAAAAAGGGGAGAAAAGAAGAGGAAGAAAAGAGGTCAGCTCAGTGAAATTAAAGATTTACAGCACACCAACAGGAGCGCCGTCAAAATAACATGGAATGAATACTCAATGATGGGAAATGTAGGCCTTTACTCTCATCCAATGTTAGTGTGTGTATGCATGCATGAATTTGTGTGTATTTCACACACATGTGGCTCTGAAAGCCAGTGGTGAAAAAAGCCTCCAAGGGAAAAATAAATCACTGAGCTTCTGACAGTTGTCCTTTTCCTTCCCAACTCCCTATTCCTCAACACATGCCTCATGTTCCCCAGGAAATGACTGGCTGTTTGGCCTTGTTAGCCAGCTGCATGCTTGCATGTTCAACTCCCCCTTTCTCTTTCTTTCTCTCTTCCCCAAGCTTTATTGCCCTTCACTCATCCAGTGAGTGAAGTTCCGCTCCTCACATGTTCAGGTTATGCAACTGATCGGGGAGGGAAAGAAACAAAACATTCATTTGGAGATATTGCAGCTTTTCCCAACCCACTCTGATGCGCTGAAGGTCATTTTCATTTGAACTAATGAGCAGGAACTGGCAAAACAATGGTACTTGATTGTTGCAGGAAGGAGTCTGGGGCATAAGCAAATACTACTACTGTTCTGTGATCCAATATGGCATGGACAATGCTCAACAGAAATAGGTTAAAAGAGGAGAGTGAAAGGGAACTACACAAGGCTGAGGTGTAACAGGTTTACCAATAAAACGAATGAAGGCAAATGAGATAGAAGGCTAGACCATGCGTATGTATCTGTGCGAGTGTGTGTTTGCATGCTAGCGAAGAAACAACAAGCATCAGTAAGTAGGAGAGACAGGAGGTGGTTCGGAGGAGAACAAGTAAATGAAAAGTAGATGTGGGGGAGAAAGAAAAAGTGAGCAGGAGGTGGTGGGTTTGGTGGGCGGGGAGAGTGGGTGCAAGAGAAAAGGGAGAAAGAAGAGAGACAGAGAAAGAGAGAGAGAGAGGGGGTGAGGCAGGCAGGGAGACAGGAAAGACAGCCCCCTAGCTTCTTCCTTTATCTCCTTCCTGCATGGTGAGATGTGTGTCCTAGATGCCAGTATCAGTCTCTCCTGATGAAACAGATGTGCTGTCAGCTTCAAACGGCACGCTAACCTGTCATATCATAATCTAAGTGGACATAATACCTGATATATATACACTGGCAACATTTACTGCTGCCTGAGAGGAGATGGGTGGAGGAGGTGGGGGAGGTGAGCAGCTGCACCGTCGACTGTGACTGCGTGATGATGTGCGTGTGTGTGTGTGTGTGCGTGCGAGTGCCTTCAGTAAGTGCCTGTTTGCCAAAAGCGTGTTCGCCTGCATGCTCACCTCTCCGTGCCGATGAGTGTGGTTTACGCACTCTGCAGCTCATACATGTTTGCTCTTACAGTGCAAACCTGAGCCCAGCAACCATAATATTGCCTATAAGTCTGAGTTTGCTGTGTGCTACTGATACACCCCTCTCCAAATGAGCAACATACTCCCCTAACGCCTGACAGGATTTCAGTGAAATGAGAGCACTACAGGAGAACCTGGCTGCGCTTCAATCCCACTGACAGACTGAGACCGAGACAGTTTCTAAAACTCCTGAAAATCCCTAACACAGCAGATTAGCATTACGTGCCGTACTCTCTACAACACATCTGCAGAGTGTCTTCTGTTACAGTGCCTTCCCCCTCGCTAACCCTCTTCCAGAACACTAGGCTATCATTATACATCAGCCATTTAATATACAAAACATCCTGCAGACGGCTATCTGTTCTTCACAAACCCATGGAAACAGCGCAAACATACAGCAGGAATTACCTATGTGAGTCAGTCACAACGGCTGCAGACAAAAAATAAATAAATAGCTAAACCCCGATCGTCTTCAGTGCTTAATACATACACTCACACACATACACACAGAGACAGCAGGAATGAGAAGCAGCAGATCAGAAATATCACTGGGTGAGTGACAAAACACAGACTGCAGCAGGGAGGGGCTTTCGAACAATGAGCAGGTCGCCAGGGAACCCTTTGACGATCCCTGTCAATCAATGCCTGTCCTGCCATGTTGTCATGGAAACAACAAAGAGGGAGATATCAAAAGCACACACAGACAAAAGACTGGCAGACACAGACATCTGTAAAAATCACAGGCGGCAAGTGGACGGTTTCGCAAACCATAAATGTAGAATATTAGTGATGAAACGTGGCAAACGTTAGACTGAAATAAATTATCCCCCCAATCTCTTTTGAGGGGCTGCATCCATTCTGACAGGATGCTAAAATCTGAAGCGCGAGGAAGGAGAAATATCAAGAGCTACATATAAACTCTATCTGTTCAATCACCGCAACTGGAAGATGTGTGATTCTGACTGGCGGACAGATTAAGCTCTCTTCTCTCGCCCTGGACACGCATATGCGGAGCAACACCAGCAGGCAAGGGGCGGGCTCGGGAAGGGGCAGGGCTTGCGTGCCCGTCCCTGGCGGTTTGGTTTGCAGAGTGGGTGATGGCTGTGAGCAGGGCCATCTGCACGGGCGCCAAAGCGCCTGTCACTTTTGCTCGGGGACGTGCCGCCATCAAGGAGACAGGCGGCAGCGTGGCCAGGATAGCACTGCAGACTCACTGTCAGAAGCAGCAGCGATCAAGCCCCGCCACCAGCCACGCCAGATCACCGACAACACACACCAAGGAAGCAAGAATTAGCATCCGACCGAGTGTATCACTGAACTCCTTATACCTACACATATGGTTAATACACTGCTTAACAAAACGGGGATCTAGAATATGTTAAGTACCAAAAAGGGTTCGCAGTAGCCTCTTCGGGTGTTGCACAGAGCCTTTTTAAAAATGCATACTGCACAAATAGACTGGCATTCACACATTATGGTGCTGCAAAGGAGGTGGCATCAAAGGTTTTTCATGTAGGCTAACAGAAATACTTTGGGGCGACAAGACCTTTATTAGATTAGAGATGAGAGCTCAAGTGTGCGCTTTGTTCTGCATCGCTCAATGAGAGAGTTCCTGAACGACTACCACAACTGAAGCACCCTTGGTTCAGATTTGTACCGTATATGTAAAAAGATCAAAGAACGCTACATGTCGTTACAGATTTTGCATTCGCAATCTGTGTTCAGGTTTGTGCGTTTAACATTCAAAAACAAAATTACCCCGACCAGAGCCGAGCGCGCACTGAGTCCTGCTTTGCGGAACAGACGACGCTTTGATATGATGTTTTTGTGATGAGGAGACTGTGGTGAACGCCCTGTATCCTGCCTCAACACAACACTGGGCCTCGTAATGGGACAACATTGTCGACCTAAGCGCGGATCATCTCTCAAACATTCTCCCTCACACGCGGCCTGACTTTGTGTATGGCTTGATTTTTGTAAACGATAACCAAAAGAAATACAACCAGCGGACACACGTCAGTATTTTGGCAAGGAGCAAAGCAGAAACATATCACTCCTTGTCAAAACTTTGTCCGTCTTCCTCCGCCCTACACGTCTTCTCCCTTTGCTTTGCCTGAGAGTCTGCTGGTTGTTAAATCAATAAAACTCTCTGTCAGGCTCGCGGAGCTTCACCATTTGGTCGATGTCAAAGCCAAACAAACCAGATAAGAAAGGCAGAGAGGCGATGAAACGAGGGAGAGGAAAAAGATGGGGATGAAACCAGTCAGCCTCCCCTCACCACCACCTCCACCACCGCCTGCCCCATTTCTCCAACACCCCTCCTTCTATTTATTTACACACATTTCTTTATTTATTTGATGTGAGTTTGGGAAGAGGGGGCAATCACGGCAGTCATTTGCGGCACTAATGTCCAATCACAGGCCCCTTCACTCATGTGATTTAGGCAGTGTAGGAGTGGGTTCGCAGCAGAGAATGGAGGAGGGGGGTAGGTGGCGGGTGAGGTGGGGGGGCAGAGGCCGTTTAGGCCGGCCCCTAATAGGAAACTGGCAGTCTTATTCCTTCCCCAGATTCTGTTTGTCACCCCGCTCTCCATTACGTGCCTCTCAACCCTGATGGCTTTGGACAGGAGCTGATCAAAAAGCCATCGCTTGACCTACACGCCGTGGCAGAACGAGACTCGCGCCTTGCACAGGGAGAGTGGGAGAGAGGGAGATGAGATAGACGACGAGGGGGGGAGAAGGAGGGGTGTATGTCAGTGTATGCGCGGAGAGGAGAAAGAGGAGGGAGGTAGGGAGGGAGGAATGAGGAGGGAGGTGGGGGGTGATAGCTCTCGGACCGGGACAAGAGGGCTGTAAATAAAATGACATTATTATTTCCTCTGTCCCGTCATGTAGAAAAGCCAATTATGGTAATGCTGCTGCCGGCATGTCAGAGGGAATGCTGGGATGTGCTTCCCGTGAAGCGGCTAACATGAGAGCAATGCCCTGATCAGGAACACAGGCCTCAGTTTGACAAGAGACTATACAGATAGGGGGAAGAAGAGAGAGAGGGAGAAACAAGAGAGAGAAAGAGATATGAAGCCAATAACAAAGCAGCATCTGGGCCTTGTTTTCTTAACGCATAGTTATTAAGCTATCTGCAGCAGAAAATATATTTTGAAAAATGTACCCATAAGACCTGACAAAATGAAGTTTGTGGATCCACGGTCTGAAGTGTATTCTCACCATTTACTTGATATTACCCTGACAATATTTCATTCTCACTGCTCCAGTCACATATTTAAAACATTTCAGTTGCGGTTGATTTTGTGAAAAAAAATCAACAAGCAACAAAACAAACGCGAGAGGAGGCGTGCCGTACAGAATCTTATTAAAGTGCAGCTCCATGATGTGCAAATGATTGAGAAGCCCGAACTCAAGAAAAGCTATCAACCTGAAAAGTTCAGGAGTTCATGAATTATACTCTGTCACACCTCAAAATTTGACGAGATGAATTATGCAAAGACGACGGCGAGAGCGCCGGATATTGAGGGTGAAGGCG